GTTCTGCTGAGTTTAGCTCCAACCCCAATTAAACTCACCTGAACCAGTTAATCAAGGCATTTAGGATCACTTCCAGACCTGTATGTTTGGGGCAGGCGGAGCTGAACTCTGCAGCACATTGACCCTCCAGAAACAGGAGTACTGTAGACACCCCTGCACTACTGTCAATGCTACTTGACAATAAACTCTCAGAAGGTCTTTCTGTGTGGAGTTTACATGTTCTCCCTGCAGTGCTCTGGTTCCCCATAATCAGACATAACTGATATGAAGGATAGGTGAATTAGAGAGACTTATTTGACCATAGGCTTACTTGACTCAAACAGTGAGTATGTCTGTATGAGAGGCCATCCATCCCTGGCCCGAGATGCTGGGATCGGCTCTACTATCCCTGCAACCCTAGGACAAGCAGTTTGGAGAATGGATGAATCATCATTCATTGGATGGACATTTCTGAGAACTCAATAACTGTAGATGCACAGTTACCGCAGTGTTATCAACAGATTCCACACTTAAGCCCAAAATGCCCATGTTCATCAGTAATAGGTGACATAAGTACTGAAAAAACTGACTTTAAGTCTTTGGTGGGCGGAAAACCATTCATCATTCCCTTCTTTTCTGTCTTTACAGGATGGCTCCATTGTCATTTGCCATTAGGTGCAATATATGAAGCAGAATAATATTCCTACAAGTGGATAAGAAACTATTACAAAGCACGACCTGTCTTGTAATCCTGATTATATAAACTCTCTTCTGAGAGAAATTTTTAATCAGTAACTTCTGTCATGTCAATTACAAATGAGATGTGCAAGGATTCCAGTGGACAAAATTATGTCCAATGAGCTGCAATGTGGTGTTATAATTCACACAATCATTAACCCAAATGATTTGAAATTATCGTTTAATTTTCTTTGTTTAAGCATCACAGCACTGTGTCGAACATTCTGGGATCATGTTCAGCCATAAACAAAACAGGAACTGACTGGAGGATTATTCCACAATCCCAGGAAATTCCCATCTTTTCACTGAGTCATAATATTTATTAGCTGCAGTTCTCCAGTAGCATTCAACATCACATGATCCAGTGATCGCATCGTTATGAAAGTTTTTTATTTTTGATGTGGCACTTGTTCATTACAGTAGTGTAAAATTTTCATTCAGCAACTCTAAGGGCAATTTGAGATGTTAATGATTCATCATTTAATCTGTCATAGATGTTGTCCATTCATCCATTCTCCAAACTGATGGCAAGGAAACACGTATATATGCAGTATATCACATTCTGGTTCTTGAATCTAGAACATATAGACTGCTCATATATAAGCTCATAGACTGTTTACAAACTGGAGAAGAAAAACCCCACGTTTTCATGACACAGTGAGTAGTCAGAGTCTCGTGCACAGTCAGTGATGCAATAGGAAAAGCAGCACAATCCTTAGCTTTTTTAAAGGAAAAGGGATGCCGTTCATGGAAGAGAAGACCTTACTCCACTGGACAGAGAAAGACATTAATCATGCTTGCATTAATGGTGGTGAGATTCTTTTGCCCACATCTACTGAAAGATGTGCACTAAGTTCCCATCCAATGTTCCTGTTGGTAAATAAAGTTAAAGTTAATAAAAGACAATAGTTGCTTTGGGGTGAGTGGGGGATAGGATTCTGCCAAGGGATTGAATATTGCAAAATCAGTGTTGGGGGTAACGCATTACAAGTAACGCAAGTTATGTAATCAGATTACTTTTTTTAAGTAACTAGTAAAGTAACGCATTACTTTTTAATTTAGAAGGAAATATCTGAGTTACGTTTTCAAACAAGTAACTCCAGTTACTTTTTTCCCCCATGTATTGACTGACAGCTCTTGTGTTGCCATATTGAGAGAAATCGAAGTAACTAAGTAACGTAATTAGTTACTTTTTTAGGGAGTAACGCAATATTGTAATGCATTACTTTTAAAAGTAACTTTCCCCAACACTGTACAAGATAACAGCTCTCTTAAATGAAGTGTTTATCTTGCACACTTTTTCATTTTGAGGTTACCACTTTTCTCCAGATGACATCTGCTGGTCATGAATTTGCAGGTTCTTCTGCTCCACAGCCTCATTAAACATTAAAACCATTGACAGGCGAGTTGAATAACACCGACTATATCGTTACAGTGGCATCTGTCAGAGGATGTGATATATTAGGCAGCAAGTGAACCACCGGTTGTTGAAATTTCTTGACAAGGGCCAAATAGTGATGGCTAGATGATTAGGTCAGGGTGTCTTCAAAATGGCAAGTCTTGTGGGGTGTTCTCAGTATGCAGTAGTTAGTACATACCAAAAAAAGTGTAAAGAAGGTCAACCGGTGTCAGGGTTATGGGCGCCCAAGGCTCACTGATGCATATGGGGAGCGAAGGCTAAACCGTCCAGTCTGATTACATAGAAGAGCTAAAACCTGTTCCTGGAGGGCCTCTGTCTGGCAGAGTTTGGCTCCAACTCTTATTAAACACACCCAAATCAGCTAATCAAGGTTTTCAGACTCGCTAGAAACTTCCAGACAAGTGTGTCGGAGCTGTTTGGAACTAAAATCTGCAAGACATTGGGGTAACACTTTATTTCGATAGTCCACTTTAGATATTCTATTAACAGTAAGTAACTTTGCAACTACATGTCAACTAGCAGTTAGTAGAGTATTAGTAGACTGTCTGCTTAATATCTTCTAACAATTTCTTTGTCAACTTATTCTACTAACCCTAAACCTACCCTAACAGTCTACTCTGAGAGTTAGTAGACATGTAGTTGCAAATTAATGAGAATTAGTTGACATGTAGTTACAAAGTTACTTATAGTTAATAGAATGTCTAAAGTGGACTATCGAAATAAAGTGTAACCGACATTGGCCCTCCAGGAATAGGATTGGACACCCATGTACTATGAGAAGGCAGGCAAGGTGTTGACTTGGCCTCCTAAATCCCCAGATCTCAATCCAAGTATTTACAATTAAAGTATTTCCTTCATTTTACTTCTTTATTAAGGGATTCAATGTGTTGTCAATTTTTGACTATATTAGAAAAGATGGCACAAGTAATATTGCCAAAGTAATCCTTGCTTCCCTTCTTGGTGAAAGAGGATGTATATTTTTTAATGTGGAAAGGCAAAATAGACCATCACTCTTTAAGAAAGTGTCTTTATTTACCAAAAAATGAGTAAGAGAAAATAAATGACAATACAAACCATAGATAATGTGGTTAAGCAAATCATGTAGCATAATTGTAAATCAACTTACCACAGATATCAGTGCCATTTCACAGAGAAAATATGAATATTGTATTGTAACCTTGTGGAGGGTGAAGAAACCAGGGCAGCAGTTGAAGCATGATAAAAAATATATAAATGACAACAGAAAACAATTTCTGGGAAACATGGAAGAAATGTCATTTATCAAACAGCAAAATCCAATACGCATCAAACTGAGCAGACATTTGGTGACTGAGGACTTACAGTATATAGGGCTTTAATGGGTTTTACTGCTGTTGGACGAGTAATGTCAACCCTATCTGTACAGTACCAGTCATGTGACGTTCTGAAAGCATGCTTTTGAGCAGCTTCTTATATTTGCAAGGTTGTACGTTTAAGCACACAACGAACACTGAGACGACTTCAGCCATAGAAATTCAACATACAGCTGAATCGACTATTATTGTAACATCTGAATTCTCATTGAAACAACAAGAGCAGAATACACACTTCAGGGGCTCCGAACCAAACTACTGTTAAGTGTGTTTCAGACAAACCATTTAGTTTCTTAACAGATTACTAAGAGCAAGTTTACCAAGAAAAACTTCTCTTTAGTGACAAAATGATGCATTCATAATTGGGCACAAGTTTTAGAATAAATATCAAGTCTAAAAAGAAGTCAAGCTAACAGCACTCCAGATCCAGATGAATAGGAACTGACATTTGTCTTGTGAAAAAATGAATTTTTTGGATTTATCTGTAATCTTGGTCCAACACACAATGCATCTCGACTAACAGGTTTACAGCGCAGAAGATCCAATTGTAGATCTTAAGGAAATTTGCTGCTTCAAATCTTTTAAAAACCAGAGGCAGTACAGCAGAACTTCAGGACTCGAAGCAGGATTTCATGATGGCCTCTCTGTCAAATTTGAAGCGGAGGAAAGACCGCGAGGAGTGGATGTATTCCTCATAACACAAGTCTGCCAGTCCGTTACAGCCATAGACGTCACCAGATGCATCTGCAAAAACAATTGTAGAATGACTGAAAAGTGAAAACAGTTGTGGACAGTATTTTAAATTCGTGCATTAAATTATTTGATGAATAAACATAAGGTGTGATCGAAAGCAAAAAGGTCCACTGTCAATAGTGTAGCGATGCATGATGCACAGCTCACACGATCAAGCAGCTTTCTATTAGGGGTGGGAATCTTTAGGCACTTCACGATCCGATCCGATTCCGATTCTGGGAGTCACGATCCAATTCCAAAACCATTCTTGATTAATTCTTCTGCTGTGCAAATACATTTTACAACTTTACATTTTAACCAAAATTGCAGTTTCTATGCTTCTTGTTTATAGTTGGAATCTCTGTATGTCAGTACTGCCATCTTAAAAATAAGGGTGTGAATCTTCACTGGTTTCACGATTCAATTACGATTATCATTATCAACTCAATATCAAGATGCGTCACATTCTCAGTTTTCAATATTACTGCACATGGCTATATTTTCATATACATTTTATATCAAATTTAATTTGTGCAAAATGTACTTAATTTTTTTATTATATAAGCAGACTACTTTTTAAAACAGTTACTTTTTTTAAATAGGTGTTCTTTAAGTATCCGAAAGTTTACAGACAATAGGCTAGTTATGGGCTTTTCTTTTTTCCTCAGCATTATTGCCATTTGATTATGAGATCATTGACAGTGGCAGCTTTAACAGGCTGCATTTACACTAATGCACAGATCTATTTCGATATATCAGATGTTCTGTCCTGCTCTGAAAACATAACTGACATATATTTACACCAATTTCATATAAAAGTATATGCAAGTGCATTTAACCGCAGCCGCGATCGAGCTTCAGGACAACAAACACAAAGCGCACGTGAAAGTCTGTCAGTGCGCGAGTTTCGTGCATCTAATAGTACTGCATTCCAAACGGCAGAAATTAATGCATATCTAAAGTAAAACACGGCGGGTGGAAGCACACACTGTCAAGCAATGCACACGTGTCTCACAGCGCAACTTCTGCGCAATGAAGCCCGCCGCGTCTCTAGCGCGCACACGTGCCATTTGCGGGGGAAAAAAAACAAGCTCAGAATCGTTGAAGAGAGAATCGCGATGCATCGGAGAATCGATTTTTTTCTCCCACCCCTACTTTCTATTGGTCAACACAGCAAATCCACGTGACCAACTTAAACCTGTTGTGAAATCTGCATGGAGAAATCCTGATCGCAAATCTGAGCACACCCTTACTCTCATGCATCACAAAACATTCAAACACTCATCAATTCTAGTTACATACTGGATATTTGTGAGGATTTTGCTTGTTATAAAATACAATTCATTTGATTTAGCTATAATCACAAAGCCCCATTTCTAATCCCTAATGCATCATTTCTTAAAAAGCTTATTTACCTGTGTCGAAGTTATCCTGCAGTCTTCTGGGCTGAAGTTTCTTGTCATCTTTCTACAAAGTAAATATAGTGTTACACAACTATAACTTCTATTGTAATGTAGGGCTGCACGATTAATCGAATGTGATTGTCATGCGCATTTTGTTAAAAAAGCCGGTTCTGTAATCAGCAGTAAATCATCATCACGTGCTTTCAGATGGAGCAGCATTTACTACACATAGCCGTAGTTCATTGACAAGTTACGCAAAAAAAAAAATGCAGACAATATTATTGCGCGATTCTGAAATCGAAGAAATCGTTCGCGATTATGAAAGCCGTTTGCGTAGCTTCTCAGTGAACTACGGCTCTGTGTAGTAAATGCTGCTCCATCTGAAAGCATGTGAAAATACCACATTTAATAACATGTTTTTACTCCAAACTCCCTTCATAACGTCAGTCGAGTGTTTGAAATAAATCCTTTTGTGAGATGATGTGGCTTCTTACACAGAATAAGGCACGCAACATATTTCATAGTATTTAAGCAGTGATAAAAGGCTATGCATTATAAATATACTTTATTTTAATGAAAATTATAATAATAATAATAACTCAGATAAACCGTATATTGCTGTAGTCGTGTGTTTATCAGTCATGTTGAATCAATGAAAGCAGTTGAATCTTCTGTTTATTCAGCTGCAGCGATAGGCATTTTCTGGGTTTCTTCTGCGAGGCGTATTTGGAGTTTCAGCGCGAGAGCGCCCTCTGGCCTTTGGATGGAGATTTACTGCTGATCACAGAACCGTGCTTCACTGAAAGATACACATGACAATCACAGCTTCTGTCGAATCGCGATCTCGATTCCATTTCGATTTATCATGCAGCCCTATTGTAATGTACAGTAAATGTGTGCAGCAGCTTACCTGCTGCTGACTGACACCATTAGCTCTTTTTTTCAGGTTTGGAGACTCCTGGTGTTTCTTGCTGTTGCCTTTCACATGATTCTGCAAGAAAATAAACCAACCAATCAGTGAAACAGCATTATAACACTGAAAGAGTTAGTGAAAGTGAAAAAAAAAACTGTGAATAAGATCTGAATTCAGTTCTCGCATACTGTGGATTTCTGTAGATTTTTGCACCTAATCGAAACAGCAGTAATATGTGTACACAATATTTTGTGATGTGAACACCTACCTTGGGTTTAAGCACGTCTACTAACTCGCTCTGGGAGGTTTGTCCGAAGGGTTTCTGTTGTTTTTGCTTGGACCAGCTTTCAGGAGACGCTTCCACCAACATCTGAGACCTTCTGGGCTTAGAGCTGAGAAGAGGAACAACAAAAATGTGAGCATGTCATCATTTCAACAGTCACCTGATTGCTCATTTTATGGCATGCAGTAAAATGCACAAGTAACTGTGCAGAAGATTATATACTTGAAGTGTTCTAGAAACATTAACACTATGTTTAGTTAGTCCTCCAGACTACAGTTTGATTCCAATGGACCGTGAGACACAATAACAACAGTAGCACTACTGTTATGCTAATGATCTTTCATTAATATGACTTTGGTTCCAATAAACCAGATTTGTGACAATACATTTTTGTCTACATTTAGCATTATTAATCAGCATGTTAAGAGCATTTCATAAAAAAAAAAAAATGGTATGACTGAATATTGTTTGCAGATGCTGATATAAAAATGGTCCAGACTTCAAGACGAAAACCCTGAACCCCAAACAGTTTATTTTCTCAGTCACATGGCCTTCTGCAACACATAGGTATCGAACTGTAAAAAGAATAATAGCCTGATAAAACATCTAATCTTACCTTTTAATATTCATATCCAACTGGGCTCAACTGATGACAAAAAACAACAACTTTTTTCACTTTGGTTCAATATCCTCATCTTTGATGACTGTTTGGTCTTTTTTTTCTTTTACAAAGTACTACTGCTGACCAGATGGGAATTTATAACAATTCCAAAAAAGTATTAAAAAATATTACTCATATCCAACTGGGCTCAAAGATATCCTCATCTTTGATGACTGTTTGGTCTTTTTTTTCTTTTACAAAGTACTACTGCTGACCAGATGGGAATTTATAACAATTCCAAAAAAGTATTAAAAAATATTAAATATTACAAATATAAAGGCCGGACATACTGGAACTTTAATTAAATACCATTGTTCTGTGCAATATTTTATAAAATTGTAATATTTTGATATTTGAAATGATAATTTGAATGAAATACACCATTATTTCATAGTCAATTTAATACATAAATCAGTGGGCCTTCTGAACGACAAGTCAGTCTTAAGGCCCCACAAATAATGAGTGATAATGCAGTCTTCAGATAGTCAACAAACAAATATGTGAATTAACTATAATTAGTCTGCTGGCTCTTATTTGACAATTGCGTCCCTCTTTAAATGCATAACCACTAACATACTCAGTTATTGGACGATTAGTCGATCAGCCCACCATCCTGGTCCATCCCTACCATAGAGCTGAAGCACTATAATGCTACTGCACTATTAGCTTGTTATGTAAAACATAACATCTTTTCACACGTGAAAATGTAATGGTGAATGCCTTTTATAGCAAGAATGATCGCACCGGAATGGTTTGCCTGGTGTGCTGCCATTGGACGCAAAATCCTCATCGCTGCTCGTTGACTCTCCTTTGTGTTTGGCAATCCACTCTCTGAGCTGCCTGCAGATGAGCACATTACACCTCACACTCATACTCCACACAACAAACAAAACATGAACATGGATCACTCTAGAACATCATTAATGAGAAGATGTACCTCATAAATGGAATAGCCATAAAAAACTTGTTAGGAGCCAGTCCAAGCTTGGATTTCGGGGTCATATCGTTCCTGTGGCAAGGCAGTTTATCCACTGAGAACCATTCAATGTTCTATCAGGAACCAAAAGAGCAGAGAAACACAATCAGAGCTTTAGACAATCAAACACATGTGCTTCTATAGAGTATTAAAATGTATACATACCCTTATCTCTTTTCTGGTCTTGGGGTTGAACTTGGTGTCTTTAGGAACTCCTGGTATAATGTACAATCGAACCAACTGATCTGAAATCCTCTGCTCAATGTATGTTTTTTGGCAGATACGATCTCGGATATCAAAGCCTGTCTCCTCCAAAACCTGCAGAGAAATCAAACAACCTTAACAGTGGTTTTCATTACCCTTACCTCTCAACACTTATATTTTGAAAGCTGAGAAAGCTGCATACTTCTCTCACAGCGCAGTCATGGAAAGCCTCATCTTCATTGACTTTCCCTTTAGGAAAAAGCGCTTTTTTGTAGCGTCCGTTTCCATAGTGACTTGTCGATTCGTCGCTCTGTTGAGAATGTCTTGAGTCTTAACCAGGAACATACTCGGAGTTGAATGAACTTACTCCCAAGCGCGGTTTTGGAACCACATACCTCGAGTAAGCAAGGTTTGGGGTTAATCAACCGAGAGTTCAGGGTTTAGCTGACGGTAAGTTAACCGTGCTTTCTGGAATATACCCCAGGTTTCTATAAATCCAAACAAACCAATCTGACGTTCAATCCTGCACATTTCGGAACCATTATACTTTGCACAATCATGCACTCATGCAGCAAAGTTCTCCCTTAAATCTTTAGTTTGTGAACCGCTTTCGATGACAGTTACATTACATAAACAATTAAGGTGCGATGCACACTTTAAGAATTTGATCGCATTTAGAAGGCATTTTATATTATATATATTTGCTTGTGACCGTGAAGACAGTGTTTGATGTCTGTGAACCGTTAGCTAGATGTTTCTGATGTCATGAACAGATTCGCATGAAGAGGAAAGGGTAAAGTTCTGTCGAATGTTTATTCATGAGGCTCCTTGTTGTTGCAAATTTGATTTTCTCTATATTTGCTATAAATGCCAGTAGATAAAGTAATAAAAAGAAAGATCATGTGCTCCCTCGACTGTTTTTCTGTTCTTTGTTTTCTGAATTGTGCAGCACTTTGGGTACAATTCTGTTGCTTTTAAATGAGCTAAACGTGTGTGTTGGGGTTTGTGGCTCTCCAACGCAATATTCTGCTGAAAGGCAAAGACACTTCAGAAAAACTGTGCATTTAGTCTGTGTGTTAGACTCAGTACTCTCTCTGGCCCAAATATGCTTTCATATAACATCTCTTAAGGATATCAGCCTTGGCAAAGTCCCTTATCCCACACTGAGGCAGTCCTGGTGAATTTTGCATGCAGAAGTCCAGGTAAAACCAATGGGCAAGCTCAATCTGGAAGCAAACTCTGATGGCATTGTCCCTCTCCTCGCTGGGGATGTGAAGAATGAAGCGACTACAAGACACAACACAGAAAATACTGAAACCATGACGCCAACATCATGAGTCAAAAGCACATTTAAGGATGATTTAATGATATTTGCACTGAGCTTTGTAACAAGGCATTTTAAATAACGTGGCACACTGGTTTTCTGAAGAACTTAATCTAACACAGGGCTGTCAAACTCAGTTCCTGGAGGGCTGGAGCTCTGCAGAGTTTAGTTCCAACACACAAACCATGTAGTTTTCAAATAAGCCAGAAGGGCTTGATTAGCTGGATCAGGGGCCTGTACCATGAAGCCGGATTAGCTGGCTAGCCAGGTAAATTTCAGTTTAGTTTGCACCAATCCTGGGTTTTAGGTACCATGAAAGTGGCTTGGCTTTTAGCAGCGTTCATTGCCATAGTAACTTACACTCCACGGCTAACCTGCTCGGGGGCAGGTTATGTTCTGAGTTAGAGATCTCAAACTGAAATTGGACCAATCAGATGTCTGACACAAAAAAGTCACTCCCTCAGTTTCTCTTGCTCCAAATTAAAGGTCACTAGTACAAAAAAAATGTCTGGCTTTAATGATAAAAAAATGACTACGTGGCCTTACATGTTCGAGTCTCTGTCGCTGTATATAACAAGTTTCACTTGTGACTGCACTGATACAGCAAGATCATTTCTTTTATTTGTCCTCTTTCATGAACAAGTACTTTTTTCATTGTAAATG